TCTTTTTCTTGTTTTATTATAATAATATGATATACTCAATGTAGTGTAAAAAATCTAATTGCTCACGTAATGTATCTTATTTATATTACATGCATTATATCTAATATTCTAATCAAATATTTGTATACATAGTAAAAAAATTTTAAGTAATGTTTATGATAAATCTGAACATATATACAATTTTTTAAATTTCTATATATGTTGTACAGATTTTAAAATAAATTTAACCTACCACTCCATCTGGATATATCACTTTTGTCAAAAGAAGACAACTCATTAATATCAAATTTATCAAAATAATACAACTAATTAATATCAAATTTATCAATAGATAAATAGTGATCAGCCTAAATTTTCAAACGGCATTGATTTAAACTCCCTTAAAACACCCACCCCCACAACCCCCTCACACACATGGAGGTTGGGGATTGGGTGAGAAGGAAAAAAAATAAAAATAAAATAAAATAAAATTGACCAATCAAAACTAAAGGGGTCAAGGGAGTGACACCCAAAGGGGTCTCAACCTTTATTCTTCCACAAAAGAAAAGAGAAGTCGGGGGAGAGGGCAGCCCCAGGTGAGCATGCCTCACCTTTTCATAAAAAAATTATATATTTTATTACATATATATATATATATATTTATGCATACACTTATATATAAATCAATTTAAAATATATTTTAATAACACTATAATATTTTGTAACATAAATGACAAAAATGATATATATTTCATTTAACGGTATACATCATAAATATTCATAAATGTCTCATGGTAATAAAATAAATAATAATAATAACAACTAGTAATTACAAACAAGTAATGACTTGAACGATTAGATCCAAAACGAATGAAATTTAATAATCTAAAATAATTTAACATGTGAGACCAGAGTATGAAATAATTTAAAATGGAGTCAACGTAGTTCCTACCATTTACATAATTAAATACTAGCATAAAACCCGTGCTATGCGCAGACAAGTAACAAAATGTGATAAATAATACTAAACATATTAAAAATTAATTAAATACTATGATATTAATTTAGATGTGTATTTAAATAATATATGTTTATATAAATATGCTGGACTAATTAAGTTTTTTGAAATACACTTAATCGAATAAACTCAATTCAAAAGGAAGAGTAAGATTGAAATTCTATAATTATAAGATAAAGATTAAAAAAATTAAGTTTAAATTTGAAGATGAATATAGAAAGAGAAAATTAGATAAATTTTTGAAAAATAATAAACTCAACTGAAAATCAAGAGCGAGAGTGAATTTTGTATATATAAGATAAAGATCAAAAAATTAAGTTTAAATTTGAGGATGAAATATAAGAATATAATAATAGAAGAATAGAAGAAGGTAGTATTGGATAAGAGTGAAATGTCACCTATAATTTTTTAAAATTTGTATAAAAAAAAAACCTCAAAAATAAGAATTGAGTTGTAGTAGGCATAAACTAAAAAAGCTAAAAAGTCAAAAAGTCACTATCCTATTTAAGTCACATAATCTTATTTAAGTCACATCACCTCTCTACCACATCACTTCAAACCCAACCCATACTCAACTCATATTTCATAAAAGGTCAAAAAGTACATTTATTTAGACCATCCCAAACAACCCAACAATTTTGTGTAGTTATAAATAAGCATTTATGATATCTTATTATACAAATTTTAGCTCTATTTTGTGTCTACTACACATAATTTTTAACAATTTTTGTATTCTAAAGCTACTTAATTAAAAATAAAAAATAAAAAATTCAAGGGATCACCTTTTTATTTCTTAATTTTTTTTTTTTTTTTTTTTAGTATTCTTAGTTGTTTTAACCATTATCTTTTATTATAAATAATGATTTGTAAGCTCTATGACTCCAGCTAATTGATGAACATATATATATATATATATATTTTATCGGCAAAGAAAAGGAACTCTATTGATGAAACAGAAAACTATTACAACAATAAAGAAAGAGGAGGATGTGTGCAAAAAGCATCATAGCGAACCTAATCAATTCCAACTAGGTTGGTACCAATAAGACCGCCTAATCATATGCTAACACACTATCACGAGTTGGTGACGAACCAACCACAAAACCAAAACAACCTCACCCAGAAAACTAACCAAAACAGATCAAAAACAGAACAAAACAGCATTCCATATTTGGGTCGGGGGATCGGGTCCCCATCGGGCTGGGTTTAAATTGCCATCCCTAAATGTCACCTATAATTTTTTAAAATTTGTATAAAAAAAAAACCCCAAAAATAAGAATTGAGTTGTAGTAGGCATAAACTAAAAAAGCCAAAAAGTCAAAAAGTCACTATCCTATTTAAGTCACATTATCTTATTTAAGTCACATTACCTCTCTACCACATCACTTCAAACCCAACCCATACCCAACTCATATTTCATAAAAGGTCAAAAAGTGTATTTATTTAGACCATCCCAAACAACCCGACAATTTTGTGTAGTTATAAATAAGCATTTATGATATCTTATTATACAAATTTTAGCTCTATTTTGTGTCTACTACACATAATTTTTAATAATTTTTGTATTCTAAAGCTACTTAATTAAAAATAAAAAATAAAAAATTCAAGGGATCACCTTTTTATTTCTTAATTTTTTATTTTATTTTATTTTATTTTTTGTGACAAAAACTTATAAATCTCAACAACTTTTGTATTCTAAAACTACTAAATAAAAAAAATAGCAAAGTTAGTTTCATTTTATTTTTTATTTTTTTTTGCGTCATTAACCTATAAATTTTAGCAATTTTTGTATTTTGAAACTACTTAATAAAAAACAAACATCACTTTTCCTTTTAAAATCTTAGTTTTATGTGTTAAGAGCTGGCAAAGTGGCCTTAGTAGTGCTATGTATGAGTATCAATAAATAATCAAAATTTAGTTTTAAAATTAAATAATAATATAAAATTGTCTAAAATATGTAGTAAAAATGATTTATAATCAATTAAAATTTATTTATTTTTATCAGAGTTAAAACATAAATTTTTATCAGAGTTCAAACATAAATGACTTGTATATTTTTTCCAACGTGACCGTCACATAATCATTAAAAATTATCTTGATCTATGCCCAAGAATCATTTGACCTATTTATTTATTTATTAAATTAGTAAATGAATATTTATAAGTATTTTTATTTTTTAAATAAGAAATATGAACATATTTTATGCATATCTATGAAAAAAATTTGAACTTAGTTAAAAAAATTATATATTTATGTTAACACTATGAAATAAATAGTTACATATATTCATATATTAAAAATTTATCTAAGGTAGAGCTGCCCTAAATTATGTCATATTTTAATTTTAATCTTAGTAAAAAATTTGATAATAATAAATTTATAAATTTGCATAAATTATATCATAATTTATCGATTTGTGACCGGTATGAGCTAGTTTGGGGTTCTAATATTGGATTAAACATTCAATAGGCCAAATTTTGGGTCCCATTTTGATGATCCGAATTGTTCACAATTTAGGGTTCGTCGAATACATCATCCCCGCAAAAAATTAAGTCTATCAGATATGGAAATCACGTGTTTGATCAATTTTGTATAAATCGTTTATTTTCTCACCATTCATTTTTTCCATACAAAATTGATACAAACACATGGTTACCGTTATCTGATCGACTTGATTATTTACAAGGATGATGTACTCGATGAATACTAAAAATATGAATGGTTCATATTATTAAAATGGGGCCTAAAAGTGAGCCCACAAGACTCAACACCACCTCTCCAATTCGATGAAGTACTGGTGTGAAGTCCATGCCATGTTAAAAAATCAATAATGTTTAAATTTTAAGTTAAAGAATTAATTATTTTCCATATGTATATGTATGAATGTATCAAAATCATGCATTAATGCAATCTTAGGGAAGCAATTTTGAAATAAAATTTGTATGGTAAACATAAATTAAGGAAGTAATTTGAAATGGTAATTATGGTAGCATAATTTAAGGGTTTAATATACAACTTCATGAATTTAATTATGAGCTAATTAAAATGCAACACATAATGACACTTCGTATTTCAATTATTAAAAAAATTAAAATTAAAAAAAATTGAGTTGAGAGTTTGAGCCCTAAAAAAACCCTATTAACGTTTACTGTTTATGAAAATAATAAAATTTGATATACACGTTGAGTTGTAATAGTCATGGTGGGAGAAAAAAACACATGTTATGAAATTTTAATTATATAAATTATTTTATACTTTATGGTGAAGAATTTAAAATATTTTAATAGAAAATATGTTACGATAAAATATTTTTGAGTGTGATTTATTAATTTTTTTAATTAAAAAATTCCTTTTTTTAGTGTATGATTTATTAATTATTTTTTCTTAATTAAAAACTTCTTCCTTATTTGACAATAAAAAAAAGAATGATTTTAGGAATAAATAAAAACTTCTTCCTTATTTGACAATAAAAAAAAGAATGATTTTAGGAATAAAAATACATTATTTGTTTAAAAAAAAATATTAGTGTGTGATTTATTAATTATATTTTTAAATTAAAAAAACAAGAAATTTGGATTGAGCCTTAAAGCTCTCTTAGCTCATCTCACTAAAATTTCATTTTTCTTATATAATATATAGATAGATAGATAAATAGATGAGCCACATGAGCTAATCATATAAAACCCAAAAATTCAATTCATAGACTAATGCTATATGCATCAATTAGTACACTAATTAGTGTACTGATTGATGATGTGACACAATTTAAGATATTTTTGATATTTATAATTTGTATAATGAGTATGATTAATAATAATATCATAACTAGTGTTCGTACACTAGTGTTAATATACTAATTGATGCATATAATACCACTCCAATTCATATACAACTAGTGTTAATATACTAATTGATGCATATAATACCACTCCAATTCATATACAGATTTAACAACTAAAACCCAAAAAATTACTAAGTAGGTCCATAAAAGTCTAAATCAAAATGTAATTTCACAAATTTAAATAGAATGATCCACGACCCTACAACTATAATAATAATTACACAATTAAACAATTTGAAAACTCGTACCAATCCCGCTTTAACCAAGACACAAACCCACAAATATACCAAGACAATTACCAAACAGGTGCTGAAAAAGAAAATACAAATCGAATTTGACCCGACTCGTTACACAGCCACTCACCAACGACTTATGTGGCACATAGTGAATGGCTGCCATAAAATTCTGAATTACGGGACAGCCGTAAAGAAGATAACCTCTATTTATTAACCTACTTATATGAAGGAATCATATGCAAATACGCGAGCAGCCTGAATGATCGCCTCTCTAAATTGGTTCAGGAATCTTGCCCCAACAAGTCACTCCCTGCAACAGTGCCCTCAATCGAATCTCTACACCAAGCTCATTTGCCAACTTAGTGGAATTACGTACTACTAGACATCCTTTATTTGTAGTCACCTCAACGAGTAGCTTTTCGCCACCATTGTTGACCATAATTTTCGATGTATTCTTTCCTCGAGTCGAACCCATCTACTATCACCTGATAAAGACCACAAAATTTTTTTAGAAGGCAACATATGAAACACATTGATGAATGATGACTACATAAAATTTTATACTTCATTATTGAAACTTACCTATATCTCACTTTGCATGAGAAGTACCTTCGGATGATAAAGGCACCTCTGATCTAGACATTGATGGACAATGTTTGGAAGGACGTCCCTAGGACCATATCTGTAATATGACATAATAAAATGCAATAACTTAGCAGTAAATAACTAAAGCATAACAAAATTTTGTTAGAAGCCAACATAGAGGATAGGGGATAAGACAACCACCAAATGTTCCAGGGCAAAATAGAAATTTTATATATAGTAAAGAAAGGAACATCAATGGTACTTGAAACTAAATTTAAAACAATGACAAAGGCAGCAAAAGAAAAGAAAAGAATAGGAAAAAAAAAGAGCAGCAAAACAAGCACAAAAAAACCAAAACATAAGAACAGCCAAAAAGGGGGACAACTGACTTCGCCAAGGGCTTCATCCCCTTCTGATCTAATCCATCTCCACAGCATTCTTCACCCACAATGGGACCTCACAGCATTTGTCACCCCCTTGAATCTGTTTACTTAAAAACATATATCTAATTACACGTCTGAATTTCACCATGGGGAATTTCAATTACATGTTTGAAATTTATCTATTTGGATTTAAACATATTCATTTAATAGTTCACATACAATACATATGTATCTAATTACTTCAATGAGGAAGCAAATACTACCCTATTGAACCACGTTAGAAGAGCAACAAGGGCATATATTGGGGAAAAAAACTTGAATACTATTTGTAAAAAAATCTATTTATGAAAAAAGGAAAAAATGGAGAAATATGGGTAGTAAATTATTGACCATGTTGTCATTCTGTTTCTTTTTTTTCATTTTTTTTTTTTTTTGGTGATAGTGTTCTTTTGCTCTTTTAAGTTTCACACATTGTCACATGGGGGCAGAGTGTGAGCAAACATGAATATAATTTTGGTATGTATTTGATTAAATTGGGTGACAATTAAAATAAAAACCATCACTAAGGCATGGCACATGGCAGCCACGGTCAGCACTTGGTGCCCCAAAGGCATGGCAGCCAAGCCTAGAATGCTAGGCAGCAAGGCAAAATTGCCCAAGGTGCCCAGCACACGCCCAACACATGCAAGTGCACGTCCATGGCAGCGGCAACACTTCAGCGCCATTTAACCTTGCAAAGTAAAAAGTGGAAGTGGAAAATCAAATGTAGTTCAAAAAAAAAGTCTGTAATCACCAGATTCAGCAAGATTTATTAACATTTATCTATCAATCACTACCAGAATGCTTGCAATACAAAACTAATAACAATTACCAAATAATGACAAATTAATACCAAATAATATTGTAGTGTATTTAGTTAGTCATGGTTCTTTGGTGAAAAAAAATAAAAAAATAAATAAAAATCCAAATAAGGAGGTTCTAATTCCTCCTTATTTGGTCATGGTTATTACTACAATATTATCAAATAATGACTAGATTCCATAAAAATAAATAAGCTATAACTTGAGGTTTCTTTCTTGATCAAGTTAAATTTAAGGGACAACTTCAAAATAAGGAAAAGCTAAAATGGTGGTCTCCCCTTGTGGAGCATCGAAATTCATGCAAAAAACAAATAATATCCAGAAAATACCTATCAATTCTTATGAATGGTTGAGATACACACTTGGAAATAATAATAAAAAAAAAAACCTAAAAATAATATCCAGATAACTGACAAATCAATAACAGATAAACAAATCAAAAGAGATTTTGATCAGTTCCTTGCAAAAATCTCAATCAACAAATCGATTTAAGGTTTAGAAAAACAAAAATCAAAAACCAAAATGAGGTATTTATGAGTAAAACGATAAAACCTTTTGGATTAGTTGTTGCTATCGTTTCAATAGGTGACGTGGTATTATTTGCTGTCGTTTTAGTTGGTCTTGGTTTTTTAGCTTTTCTTGTTGGATTATTTCCTGCATAGTCAGCTATACCTAAAACACAACATCAATTTAATGACTGAACACAAAATTTGAAAAAAAAAAAAAAACAACAAACATTGATTGAAAGAAATCGAGCGAAAAAATTATGAGAGCTCTGTAATTATAAGAAATAATTGTTTCTAAGTCAATAGGACAAGATCTGTAGAGAAATTAGCATATAAAACAACTAATTAGCATTTCATCAAACAACTAATTCGTTCAGGCATTTCATCAATCACACAACTAATTAGCATATAAAAATGATACTAATAACACAAAAATTATCAATGTAAAGAAATTGGGTTTGATCAATTAATTATGGTGAGAGAGAGAGAGTGATGCATTACCTTCAAATTTGAGAGAGTTGCCTTCAATTTGGTTTTGTGATGAGTCGGATTGGAACGATAGCGACACGGACAATGAGGAGAGAGGCAATTGGTGTGGGTTAGGGCATGGAAATAGAGGAGGGAAAAGATAAGTGAAGAAGAGGCATGAATGGAGAGAGAGAGTAGAGGGAGGGAGGGAGAAATGTGAGAGAGAAATGTGCGCGAAAGCAAGGAGAGTAAGAGAGAGGCTGGGACTTAGTTGCACGAAGCGGGAGTGAGAGCGGGGGCGGGAGCGGAGAAGTGTGAGCTGATAGAAGTTTCTTAGGTTGGGAGCGCCTCGGGAAGCGGTAATATATATATATATATATATATTTTTAATAGTTATTTCTAAAATATATTTATTATATAAAGGTGAGTTAAATAATTATTTTTAAATATATTTATTATTTTTATCTTAGATATTATTTTTATAGATAATATTTTTAATTTATTTATATATATTTTTAATTTTTAATTGATATATATTATAAATAAAAAACAGTAAAATAATAAAATATGTTAAAAAATAGTAAAATAATAAAAAATAGTAAAATAATGATTTATTTTATAAATTTTATTAAATTTTTTTTATTATATTTGATTTAATTAGATTTATTATATTATTATATAACAAATTATATTATTTATATAACAAATTATATTATTTATTATATAATCAAAAATTATCAATGTAAAGAAATTGGGTTTGATCAATTAATTATGGGGAGAGAGAGAGAGAGAGAGAGTGATGCATTACCTTCAAATTTGAAAGAGTTGCCTTCAATTTGGTTTTGTGATGAGTCGGATTGGAACGATAGCGACACAGACAGTGAGGAGAGAGGCAGTTGGTGTGGGTTAGGGCATGGAAATAGAGAAGGGAAAAGATAAGTGAAGAAGAGGCGTGAATGGCGGGAGAGAGTATAGGGAGGGAGGGAGAAATGCGAGAGAAATGTGTGCGAAAGCAAGGAGAGTAAGAGAGAGGCTAGGAAGGGGAAAAGAGGGACAAAACGATGTCGTTTTGGGGTGCAAGGGTAAAAGGGTCATTTAACATCAAAACCCATGAGTTGGTAATATACTTTCTACTATCCACTATGTTATAATTCCCATTCTTTTCCCACTGATATGTAACAAACAAATTATGTCCCCACTGGGAAGTAATTCCCCCCTTTTTTTTTTTACTACTTTTGGCGATTTAAAGATATTTGTTGCAAAATGTTACCTTTCAACAACCAATTTTTAAGATTGTTGCCAAAATTTGTCGCTAAAAGTGTAGTTTCTTGTAGTGAGTTAGGAAGACTTTTCTACATGAACACAAAGGTTATAAAACTCTGTAATTATGAGAAATAATTGTTTCTAAGTTAATAGGACCAGATCTGTAGACGTTTAGTAAAACAGCCATATCTCATTCGATACTTACTGGTTTTGAGCAAACACTGGCAAATGAAAGCTAACACATATACCTAACTATTCCAAGAGGCCTTGTTCAAAATTACATTTTGTGGAGAAAATGACATTCAATTAAAGTGGTTGTCGCTGCTGTGTTGCAGACAACAACCGAGGAAAATATTTATTTCGGGTATAAAATGTCATCCGATGATTTTATAAAAAAATACATATAAAATACATGATAACAAAGCTCCAATACCTTCAAATCTTAAAAATGGGTGTCATAGAATTTATTCAAGCCTTTACAAGTTAACAAAAATCTAAACAATGCTGGAAATCCAATCTTTTAGTAAGGAAGACCATCAAAACCCATTTCCGCCCACATACAAGATTATTCAAAGATATATAGCATCATATGGATGAAATAAAACTTGTAATAAAGCCAATCAGAAGCTATAACCATCACATGGATGCATGCAAGAAGAGAGAGCTCAAAGATGCCATGCAAGTCTCATTCAAGCCAAGAGGAGGAACATGCAATGGGTTCTTTAACTTCAGCCCACTATCTTCATATTATTAATAGATGAACTAATCTAAAACCTATAAATCAAGTACGTACACATTAAGGAAGACTAGAGATGGTGAATCTTACCTCAAAAAACTTGAAAAAGAAATGCTAACTTATATATTATTTTTTATTTTTTATTTTTATCCATACTATGACCACGAATTCCTAGTGGTGGAACTCCCTACTTACATATTATTTTTTATTTTTATCCATACTATGACCAGGAATGCATGCGGTACAAGGAATTCCTGGCATCTTGTAGAAAAAGAATATAAACATGTAAAGTCTTTTTCAGAATCTCATTTTTTTTATTTTTAATTATACATAATCACTAACAAGAATTTGGTTGCCTCTGGCTTGTGTGATTTCTATGAAAAGAGATTCTTCTCTCAAATATGTCAGCAGCCGCAATACAAATTACCTTCTTGGCTTGCTCCAAAGTACTACCCTTTCGAGTCCGGGCCCGAGTAAGTCTCTAGGTTCGTGGACCCGAACTCTTTCGAGGCTTACAGCGATTCAATCCATTTGATGGCGATAAATCTGGGCCCACCGATTCTTGGACTTGCGATAAATTCGAGCCCACTAATCTTGGGCTATTGGGCCTAAATAATTTAGTGGGCTCAAATTAGTCCCTCTTACACTTACTAAGTATGCAACATTACTAGAAGCGTAGGGTAGCTATTTGATTGAACAATAAAAATTGAACTACACACTAAATTACATAATAAAAAAGACAATAACTAAAATACACATTACCAAATAAATCAAAAAAAATTTAAATTTTCCCAAATAACAATGTTTCATACAAGCTAAATATGGATCGTCATCATCATGAGATAGAGTAGCTATTTACCGAACAATTAAAATGGAAACTAAACAGTAAACTATATATTTAAAAAAATTGTATCTAATTAAATAATAAATAACATATGCAGGAAGGGAAGTAAAGAATACCGAATTTTATTTTTTTCCGACACCACTCGTGCCATCACCAATACTTCCAAATAAACCTATTTTACTACAAATGAAAGAAATACAAAATGATTTACTTTGGATTTAGGGAGAAAAAAATATGAAAACATTTACTCTGGTCTCTGGAATAGATCCAGAGGTTAATTAATATATGCTAATTAAAATAGTGTTTATAAGTGATAAACAAAACAATAATGGAAATATTGAACCTGAGGATCTAGATCAAGATTAAGCGAAGAAAAATAAAATGATATACAGATCAAAGCAGTGAAAATCAAGTGAGAACATTACCTGAAAATTGAGGCAGCATTTCTCGCCAGAGTAGAGAGAGAACCAACCCTAACTCTTTCAAATAACAAAGTGAATTGGAGAGAATGAATGTTATGATCTATTTGTGTGTTATATTCTATTCAAAAATGATTTAGAGCTCTAATATAAGAGCTCTAATAGCTCTAATGGAAAAGTGGGACCTATCCTGACGTGATGTTTGTGTCTTGTTTTGTTTTGTTTTGTTTTGTTTTGTTTTTTACTTTGACACATCACTAGAGCTTAAATTAAAGCTCTACATTTAGAGCTCTCTAGCATTTTCCTATTCTATTTGTGTGTTATATATACAGTAATTCAGAATTGCACCAAACCTATTAATCAATTGGGATGGGCTGCCCTCCACTCCGTTATCGGACTTGAGGGTGTTATTAGGCTCGTGAAGGTTTACTATTGGTCATGTTTTTATAATTTGAAATTATTTAATGCGTAAAAATTGTTGAGTATTATATGTTTGTAAAATATTATGTTGATCAAATATTAATAGTTATTTCATCGGATCAAATTTTTGTCAATCGTTTATTTTTTTACCATCTATTTTTTTAATACAAAACTAATTTGATCACATAGTTATCGATATCCGATCAACATGATTTTTTATAAACATATAATACTCGACGAGTTCTACACATTAAACGATCAGATTATCAAAACGAGACTCGGACTTCTACAAATCTAACAACACACTCCAATCTGATTACACACTAAAAGGAAGCCAATCCAAACCCTAATCAATTAACTACTTTGTCCTATTTGATATTATAAATCGGGGTGTATTAAACTTTCTATTCAATGCCTAACTACATAAATCAAAATTTATTTAATTCTTAAATTACCAATTGAATTGAATTTTAAAAAAAATTTAACTCTTAAAATAATTATAAAAATAAAATATATGTTAAGTATTGTAATTATAAATAAGTTAAAAGATTTTACCTAATTAAGATTTTATTATATAAAAATCTTAAATTTTTATTTTGTCTTTAAAAAATATTTTATTTTGTCATGTTTAAATTAGTATTTGAATATGCTTTGACAGTCTTACTAATAAAAGTATATGAGTACTAATTAGTGAAAAAATTATAAACAATTAATTAAAAATTATAACCGAAATTTAATATATAAGACTAGATAAAGGCAATCATATAGCCATTGTAGAAGATAATAAGAAAGTATTATACATAATTATTCTTACCCTTATAAAAAAATTCATCATAAGAATTGACGCCCACTTTTCAAATATAGAATAAAAATTTAAGATTTTTTTGAAATAAAATATTAATTAGATAGGGTCTTTTTTACTAATTTACAATACTTACCAGCTTATATTTTATTTTTGAAATATTTTTTAAGAACTAAATAGATTTGAATTAAATAATTTAGGGACTTAACATATTCAATCGATAGTTTAGTGATTAAATAAATTTTGATTTATATACTTTAAGAACTGAGTAGACTCAATCGATAGTTTAGGAACTAAATAGACAATTTGATAATAGTAACATTTTCTAATCACAAAATGTATAACTTTGTTTCTCAACCATAAATTATCGTAATTCTTACCAAAAAAAAATATGTAACATTTACCATAAAGGAATTCACTTATTTTTTTTTTTTATTTTTAGTAAATTTTTTTTCAAAATTATTTCAATTTTTTTTTGATCCGTCTAATGTAAATGAATCTAAACGTAAAAAGAATTTCAATAATTGAATGTCAAAAAAAAAAAAAACTATTCACTATGTTTGGTTCCATTTTTCTATGATCTCTTTTTTTTTGAATTTTTTTTTTTTAAATTTTTGGTTCTACTCATCGAGCTGAATCTAAAAGTCTAAATCTTTTTATTTTTTCTCAATTAAACGTAAAAACATATTTTAATGATGTCAAAAATATATTTCAATTAACAATTCAGGTAATTCTATCATTGTATAGGAAAAAAATTAAAATTTTTATTTTTTCTATTAATTATATTAAATAAAAAATTCTTATAAATACCCCTTATCATAATTTGTCATTTAACAGCATTGACTAAAGAAATAAAATTCTTAAATACCATCCTATCAAACAATAAAATTTTCAGAAATATTATTTGAAATATGTCGTTGATGTCATTAAAGTTGGTAATTGACTTAATAATTGATTCTTGAAAGAAGTTATTTGTTATGCTATTTTAAGGGGTGCGATAATTTTTAAAATTACAAGAGATAGTTAAGATTTTAATTAAATCTTAGAAGTGCATTTGTAATTTATTTTTATTTTAATTTTTTTAACTCCCCATCAATAATGCCTCATTTTATTAGCATTGGACTTCTCTCGAATTCCATTGAGAGAAATGGGTTCTGTCTATCTATCAACATTTCCCTCAAGGCTAGACTTTTTGCCATTTGTGCAGATCCAACCATTTGAATTTTAAGATTCATTGATTAGACTACTCACGTAAAAAAGTTAAGTTAATTAAATATTGATATGTAATTATACAATCATATAACATTTGTTTTAAAAATAAAAGATAAATATATTTTTTTGAATAAATTATTTTTTAATAAATGTGAACTGATTTAATATTATAGATATCTAATTAATGGGAAATTTAGCTATAAATCCCTTTTACCTTCCTTTCATTGTTAAAAGGACTAAGAAAAAAATTATACTTTCTAAACCCCCTCATAATTATAAAGTCTTATATAAAGGACAAAATTTATTATTTAAATATTTTATAGGACTATTATACCCTCAACTTCTGCATATATAATCAGCTTCGTCATCAACTGTATCATAATCACCATAGTTGCATCTTCCAACCTTCAGCAGCAGGTCGTTGACAAGCCGCCGCCATAGTCGCGTCTTCCAAGCTTTAGCAGAAGGTCCTCTCTTCGTCTTCATAATCAGCAACGATGTGGCTTTGAATATGTTGAAATTGTATGAGGATGTCGTTGGAGATTCGAAAGCTAGGGTTTCGGAGCAGATGGAGATTCGGAGTGCGGTGGAGATGGCTCAATTGGAAGCGGAGAAGAAACATGATGAAGTTGTTGATGAGATGCTGGCAATGTTGAATGCGAAGGCTGAAGCTTCGAGATTGAAAGAAGTTGAATAGGAGGTTGGGAAGGATGTGGATGAGGAACAGTAGAATATATATATATATATATATATTTGTGTGTATGAGTGTTGTTGAACGCATGTATTCTTTTTCATTGAGATATGTGATTGTTGATCGAGTTTTAGAAGTTTTTTGTTTCAATTAGATATGTGGATTTGTTGATTAATTTGTTTTGTTTTTGTTTGTTTGTTTTTTTTTTTGAAGTTTTTTTTTTTCTCAATTAGATATGTTGATTTGTTGATTAATTTGTTTTGTTTTTGTTTGTTTATTTGTTTTTGATTTATTTTTGTTGTTTTTTTATCTAATTTCATTTGACAGAACCAGAGTAAAATTTTTTTACTCTGGTTCTGTTGCTCTGTTTTTTTCATTTGACAGAACCAGAGTAAAATTTTACTTTTATACAGAGTAAAATTTTACTTTTGTGTAGAGTCTAACATTTTACTTATTTTTCAGAGTAAAATTTTACTTTTGTGTGTAGAGTATAATATTTTACTAGTTTTTCAGAATAAAATTTTACTTTTATACAGAGTAAAATTTTACTTTTAGTTTCAGAGTGTAACATTTTATTCTTATTCAGAATAAAATTTTACTTTTATACAGAGTAAAATTTTACTTTCATACAGAGTAAAATTTTACTTTTAGTTTCAGAATGTAAAATTTTACTTTTATACAGAGTAAAATTTTACTCTGAAATATATAGTGAAGATGGCTTAATAGGAGAGTTGATAGATATGAAGGTAATATAGTAAAAGAAACAAGTTTTAAAATATTAAGGGGTTTTGAAAGTACTTATATAATTCTTGTCCTTTTGAAAGACAAATTAGATAGTGAGGGGGCTATCACCAAATCCCCCATAATTAATTAAGTTTTGTTATAAATAATCTATTTAACAAATATTACTGTAATGCCCCCAAGATTTTAAACAATAAATTAGATAAGATAAATATATATATCCAACACACAATCCTAACTTGATCAATCAACTTTCTTGATTAGTATTTCATTTTAGAAGAGTATACAAAAGTGTTCACATGTAATACATGTTCACCCTCCTAAAGAGATGAATCCGTAGCGTGTGTAACTATATAAAAGTGAAGGGATGAACAATGAAGTAGATGTCTTGAGGCTAAAAGTTCCAAAACTTAAGTCTGGTTACACAAAAAAAGTTGTCAAATCCAAACATATTAAGCCCTTGGCCGGCAACAAAAACCATACAAAAGCAAGAGCCTCTTATCCTTAATACATTCCATACCTTCAACTAGGCGGGATCACTGCATCATTTCCTGCACACATTCATTAGGGGTGATCATAAAGCTCAGTAGAGATATCTTAACAAAGTATATATGTTTTAAGCAATCTCATTTATATGAATGCAATGCCATGCTATGTTCAAATGTCAAAAGTCTCCATTTCCTTTGAAGTTCAAGCAATATGTTATTCAAGTTCATTTTTTTCATAAAACCCAAAAGTTAGACCATGGGGTGGTGAATACGACTAAGGCAATCCCTAGGCTGGCGCCTGCAAGTGGGCATAACAAGCACTACCAATTCTTCCACTTTACCGGCTCCTAACTGGAAGGCACATGGTATCTTCTCCGCACTTGTTTTCAGTCTTTCACCTTAGACACTCAGGCCAACTTAAATAACACCAGTTACAACTCCTAATCGGACTTACCAAATGTATTTACCCCAAAAGATTTCAATAACAATAGTTGCTTTCTCAAAACAATGAATTAATTTCCGAGTCAAGACCGTAAGTGAATAATGTTCAAGATGATGCAAATGAATGAAACGAGAAATGATCACATATAAACTTCTTTTTTGTACAATATCTCCATAATTTTCACATTTGTTCGAGTAAAGCTTTCATGGTTCAATAATTCTCAAAATCATAGTAAGGTTCAAATCCATGTGACACATGGCATTTCCTCATATTCACAATCAACATCCATTTTAAATTCTTCCAAAATTCAAACTTATATATCACATTGTG